CTTTTTTGAACTTTCTCTCTTTTATTTACTTTTTTGTTCTCTTTTCTTTTATCTTCTCCTTTTCCCCCCTTTTTTTCCTTCTTTTTTTCTTCCTCTTTTTTCCTTCTCAATTTTTTTGCTTCGCCAATAGGGGGGGGGGAGGGCCGCGGCCGTTTCGGCCCACCCCTGGATCCGCCACTGTGTTATATACGCGAACTAGCTACGTTCGTGCTGGTGAAAATGAGACAACAGGAGCAATATGTCAGAAGTGTCTTGCAGATATATTTGGCAGTGAGCTCTAAAAGCGAGGTCAAGAATTTCGCTCTTTCTTATATTTATTTAGCAAAACATCTTTTACAAACCTTTTTCTGTTTCTTTTTTTATAAACGTACTTGAAACATATCATATAAATAATTGATAATCAACTGATACATACTTTTTGTAACATACTGATTATATAACGTTAAAACAAACAATTTAATATAAAAAAGAACGAGGTAACCAAACAGACGCAGTGAATGATGGTCGTGGCTGCATCCCCCCCCCCCCTCGGAGGTCCATGTGTCAGGTCCATGGAAGGACCATACTTGTAAAACATTGTTTATGTGTTGCCACCTCTGATATTACCTCTATAACCACCATATATACCATGGCTTACACTATATATTACCTCATTTGTCATGTATGTTTATCATATGTGTATGTTTATCACTGTCCTGTAACATTTCATCTATATAATTTGTATTCTTATACTTTGTAACCAGTGGAAACCGAATTTCCTGAAAAGGACAAAAATTATTATACTTATACTTATACTCACTCTGTGTTTTGAATATCATTTGTTTTTCAATTTGGCTATTTCCTCTCCAATTCATTTGTACGTGTTTTATAGCGGACAAAATATTTTTATTCGGTTAAAGTGTTTTTGTATTCATGCATCTTGTCATTATGTCTTGAATCCTTGATGATGGTAAGTAATCTATGGGTTCTATGAAGGAGTTATAATTTTCATTCGTGATTTTTTTTTTTAAACAGTTTAAAAGTGTAGAGTATTCCAAAACTGTAAATCTGTACTTTTGCAATGCTTCCAGTGAGTGGTCGCCCATTTTTGTATAACTTGTCAGAAATTGTACACATCATTTTTCTTCAAGTCTGGAATTAATAACAGATTTTCATAGTATTTCGTCAGCAGTATTCTTTTTTATTCGTTGCTCCTATTTATGATAAAGCAAATTGTATACCTTCATATGTTTGAACATTTAAGGCTAATTTGGAGCCGCCGCGCGCGCAGCAGACATTTTGACATCCCTTTTTGTCTTCATATGGCCTGTACAATCACCCCCCCCCCCCCCCAATAATTCACCATCAAAACGAAAATGAAGAGAAAAATTAATGATGAGAGCCCGATGAGAGTAGTTAATGGATATTTCTCTCAAGATGACCATCAATATACACATTTTGCTATCTCATTTTCATAATACATAGGCCTACATGAAAACGAAGTAAATGAGACAAGAATAAATTGAATTCTCGCTCATACGGCTTCATCAGGAATCGATGAATTCATTAAATTTATTCGATCAGCAGCATCATAGAAATGCAGTGCGCCAAATAAAAAGCCGCAGCGTTAAAAAGCAACAAGCTAAATGTTAAGCGCGAAGCGCAACAGTGGAAAAAAGAAGTAGAGAGTAGGAGAGAGAGATAATGAGATCGAGACAGAGGATAATAACCCAGGTAGCAAGCCCATGTGGGACCCACATGGGTCCCATGTTCTCTGAAACATGGGCCCCATATGGAAAACCCTCTTGAGCCCTAAGGCATCTGCACCCAAGAAGCATATAGGAACCATATGGGTAAACCCATATAAGACAGATGGGACCCAGATGGGACCCCTACCAAACTGGGCCCAAATTGGTATGCCAAGCTTAATCCTATCTGGTACACATATTGGTTAACACAGATATATACCATGTGGGTTAACCCAGATTTTCCCCATGTGTTACCCATATGGGCATATTCATATTCTACCCATTATGTGTACGCCCAGATCATTCCCATTTTGGACCCATAAGGGCTGGCCCAAATAGATCCCATATGGGTTACTAAATATTGGCTCCATATGGGATACATAATTTAGCGCAAATGGCACAAGTGACCCAGATCATCCCCATATGGACCCCATATTGGCCCCATATGGGCTTGCTACCTGAGGAAAAAGAGAAAAGGGGAAGAAACGGGCAGAAGCAAAAAGCAAGGGGGAAGAGAAAAGGAAGAAAGACAAGAGAAAGACGGTTTTGTCCAAATGGCAGCATGTAGGAGACGAAACTTTCAGTTTGTTCCCTGATTCATACTAAGTTGTTTTATTGATTTTCATCCACTTCTTTGTCTATTCATATCGCTACATGTAAAACATTAGAAGAGCTATTTTCCGAAAGGAGCAAAATCTTTTGATAGCAAATGGAGATAATGATATACAGTTTCCTCTATTTACCTCGAACAAAATTATTAACCTAAATAACGAGAGAAATTATGAACACATGCATCTTTAAATAACAGATTTCCATAGACAAAATCGGGTAAACAAAGAATTATCTGGTACATCTTGAAAATAAGCTCTTTGTATGTAAATAAACAACCAATTATACAACAGAATACTCTAGTTCGATATTTTGGAGAAAGATTATTATGTCACAACTTATTTTTGTTTAATTGAAAAGCGGATGTAGGCCTATATATTGTATTCAAACGTAATAGGCATAAGATAGCTAAGGTGTTTTGAAGGTTAGAATGTTATTAATTTTGAAGTTTTGTTTATAACACACTTCCAATAATGCACCTTTTAAGACTTTTAAGGTTATAGTTTTTGAAGAAAAAAAATATTGCTCTGGTCAGGGCCTTAGGAAAATATTATGCTTATATTTTAGAGCGTATCTGGTATGATAAGTATATCTGGGTGAAGAAGGAGATAATGGAAGTTTGTTGTTTGGTAGTTGGAACGTAAGTTTCATATTATGTTTTTAAGAAACAGACAGTTTGTATGAGATCAGGAGTGGAAATTTTCTGTCATTTTGAGAACCAAATTTTGCATCAGTGATATTCTGTTTCATTGAATTGAGTTTCCCCCAGAGAGGATTCAGTTGGTTTAGTTAAAGAAGGAAGAGAGTCAAATGAAGAACCAAAACCAATATGTTTTTCATTTACTAATGAGAACTATGTTTTTTTTAAATCACCTACCCAGAATATTGGAATGGGTTTTTCACGATGAATGTTGTTTGGAGACAATATTCATAAAATGTATGTTTCTATCACCAGGAAATAAAGAATTTTCTGTCTTCATGAACCTTTCCTGGTTGCTTATTAATGCATGTGCCCACTGGTCACATAATACTTTCACAAGTTGATATCCCTCACCATTGGATATTTTTGGGGTAATGTCTAAATTTTGTTTAAAATGGATGATATCAGTCTGGTAGGCCTACACTGCAGACAAGAGTCAGGACTAACATTTAGCATGTTATTCATTTTATTACCACTCTTATATTCTCTGAAATGTTATCTATATTGAAGGTGACTTGAAAAGGTTAATAACTTGGAAGGGAGGGGGTACAACCTGCCACACGCTTCTACCTCTTGGTTACTTTCACTGGCGTACTGGTGGGGGGGGGGGGGGCTTGGGGGCGCCAGCCCCCTCCCCCCCCCAAAAAAAAAAAAAAAAAAAAAAAAATTAAACCATGACTTATTTTTCAAATTCATACAATTAAGTGAGTTATAAATGTTCGTAATATCACATGATTTTCAAAAAAATGCGTGTTCCTCCATTTTTTGTTGCAAACTGACACATTTCCAAATAGCCAGGAAGAGCATATATGTTTTTTGTATAGTCACTAATGGGCCTTAGTGACCACTAACAGTAACGCTAGTACAGGCCTTCTCAACTAGTTTCTTAGAAGTGCTTTTTTTTTGTTATTGAAGTTGAAGTGCCAACCTGTTTGGTTGGTGACTGTGTTGCGAGGGAGCGTAGCGACCGAGCCGATACCGGGTGGGGTCCAGGGGGCGAAGCCCCCAGAAGCTTGTCGATTTTAGGGCTTTTGTAGGGCCCAGATGTGGCATTTTTAACACCTTTTTATTCTATAAAACATCAATCATAATTTCATATTGATGTGAAATAATTAGTACAAATCCTTGGTAAAATCTACAATGGAAGTAAATTTATAATAAGTTATTTTCGGTGCAATAAACACGGAAAATGTCAAAATCCAGTGAAAATCAATCAACTTCAACTGCGACTTTTTGATGTTGCTGAGTTTTTAAATTTTAAAATATAGTTTTTTTAATTTTTTCTTTCTTTGATTTTTATTTTTTATTTATTTTTTATTAATTTGTTGGAACAGCCGCGCGCCACTCCGACTGACCGCAAGCGCAACTAGCGGCGCGCGCGCCGCCAGTTGAAAAGGCCTGCGCTAGTTGATAACCGTATATCCAGTTTAGCGAAAATTCTGGATACCCGTATGTCCGTATTTTTGATTTACACACTAGCGAGGGGGATTTTTCGATTAATTCCAATGAAACCGCTCGCGGAAAGCCTAGACTGTATTTTAAACCTTTACACGTACGTACTGTACTAATATTTTGATAATGTACTTTTAGAGATATGAGTGTGAGGTATTGTGAATGGATATTTGAAAGCGTGTTCACTCGTCACACAACATAACTCTTATTTTTAGTTTAGCTACGAGGAAGCAAGGTTGCACTGACAATAAAATACATGAAAGAAAGTATTCCCTTTTCGTTATGTTTATTGGGTACTGAACAAAGCTGACAATGCACTTGCAAAGTGCAGTCAAGCAAAAGTAGCAGACTTGAAAATGTGAATATTGCACGAAGATTACATAATGATTAAGGATGAGAATGAACATGAATAAATGCGATGTACATAATGAATGAAAGCTTACGATAGAATAGAAATGGCGTCGAAAGTCCAATGAAGATGAAGAGAGTTCAGAACGAAGGAAGGGGCTCACGCGATGAATGTTGCGGAGGCTTGAAGAGGCGGAGATGTAACTTCGTTGTCGTGGCTGAAGAGCCGTGAAGAATCTCGACGCTGATGTCCGTGATGAAGATGTGGTTGAAGCTCTCAGGCGAGAAGAGAAGAGAAGAGATGTGGCGCTCGACGACGAAGCAGTGAATCGCTTGATGTCGGAGGCAAGTAGAAATGTAGACATGCAAAGCCGGCACTGGTGCTGAGTAGTAATAGTTGCTCGTTTGATGCGCCGGACTTTGATGAAGAAATGTTTAGATGAGCTGCGGTGAAATGATGAGCTCGTGAGTGGAAAGAGCTACCGGAACGAAGTAACTGGCAGCTCCCAGCGGAGAGTCAGGCGCCATGTCGGTCCTGACTATAACGTTCCACTGGGAGACTGCAGCCCGATGAACACGGCAGGGAAAGAGTAGACGTGCCGTAGAAGAAACGACAGGCACAGAAGAATAAAGCCTGGAGAGGAAATTATGGAGACGTCTTGACTCGACCAAGGTGAAAGCGGGAGTGGAGAAAAACCTCGTGGAGTTGAAAATACGCGGGGAACGGTGCGCGGAACCACGATGCTCGATTGGAGGAATGAACACACGTGGTCCAAATAATGAATATAAATAAGTACCGTGATGGAAAAATACAGGAGACATGAATGTACGGTGAAAGTAGGGTGAATGTAAGTAGGGCGAATGTAAGAGCCGCTACATTACTCCCCTGCCAGAATTGAAGCTGTGTATACAATACACAGATAAAGGCGATAATATATAAATGAGCAAAGTACAAAATGTCACAAGAATCAATGGCTGATAAAAAATGTAAAAGTGCATGTATTGTATAGTGTATGCAGTAATTTACAGCAGCCTAAGAAATGTACAAGCATGGCATGTTGAAAGAATGTAATACAACAAGCATGGTATGCGAACGGCTGTTTAGTTGCCATAAATAGACAGTAATGAATGACATGGTATGCATCGAATAAAAGCGTATAAATGCAAGAGCATAAAAAACATTCGATACAAAATCCAGAATGAATACATTTTTAGAAAACATTGCTAAGTCCAAAAAGTCTGGGAATAATAAATCCGTACAACCAAGCTTCAAAGTAAACGAGGGGTCACCACTTTAGAGATATGAGTGTGAGGTATTGTGAATGGATATTTGAAAGCGTGTTCACTCGTCACACAACATAACTCTTATTTTTAGTTTAGCTACGAGGAAGCAAGGTTGCACTGACAATAAAATACATGAAAGAAAGTATTCCCTTTTCGTTATGTTTATTGGGTACTGAACAAAGCTGACAATGCACTTGCAAAGTGCAGTCAAGCAAAAGTAGCAGACTTGAAAATGTGAATATTGCACGAAGATTACATAATGATTAAGGATGAGAATGAACATGAATAAATGCGATGTACATAATGAATGAAAGCTTACGATAGAATAGAAATGGCGTCGAAAGTCCAATGAAGATGAAGAGAGTTCAGAACGAAGGAAGGGGCTCACGCGATGAATGTTGCGGAGGCTTGAAGAGGCGGAGATGTAACTTCGTTGTCGTGGCTGAAGAGCCGTGAAGAATCTCGACGCTGACGTCCGTGATGAAGATGTGGTTGAAGCTCTCAGGCGAGAAGAGAAGAGAAGAGATGTGGCGCTCGACGACGAAGCAGTGAATCGCTTGATGTCGGAGGCAAGTAGAAATGTAGACATGCAAAGCCGGCACTGGTGCTGAGTAGTAATAGTTGCTCGTTTGATGCGCCGGACTTTGATGAAGAAATGTTTAGATGAGCTGCGGTGAAATGATGAGCTCGTGAGTGGAAAGAGCTACCGGAACGAAGTAACTGGCAGCTCCCAGCGGAGAGTCAGGCGCCATGTCGGTCCTGACTATAACGTTCCACTGGGAGACTGCAGCCCGATGAACACGGCAGGGAAAGAGTAGACGTGCCGTAGAAGAAACGACAGGCACAGAAGAATAAAGCCTGGAGAGGAAATTATGGAGACGTCTTGACTCGACCAAGGTGAAAGCGGGAGTGGAGAAAAACCTCGTGGAGTTGAAAATACGCGGGGGAACGGTGCGCGGAACCACGATGCTCGATTGGAGGAATGAACACACGTGGTCCAAATAATGAATATAAATAAGTACCGTGATGGAAAAATACAGGAGACATGAATGTACGGTGAAAGTAGGGCGAATGTAAGTAGGGCGAATGTAAGAGCCGCTACATACTGAAATTGTTTTGTCGATGGGTGTTGAGTGTACATATGTGTGTATGTTCACGCTCGCTGCGCTGATTTCTGCTCTCATATTCAACAGCAAATTGCAAAATAAATACCAATTTTGTTTAGTTTAATATATGTAACTGCTCGGAATCTGTTATTGTGTTCAAATGGTTGGAGTGTTATCAACTATAAATAACTTGTTTCAACCATACTTTTTCCACAGGACATCCCTCCCCTTCTCTCTCTCTCTCTTACACACACTCTCTCCCTCTTTCTCTCCCTCATAACTCTTTCATCTCTCTCTCTCTCGATCTCTCTCTATCTCCCTACTATTTTTATTAGGATGAATCGCTATGACGTTTGAATATCTATATATTAATTATTGAGTGGGCTTATTGTGCTTTCTAATGGATCCCTACAACATAGATAACATACAAAGATCCACTGAGGGGCCTGGCAGAGCAGAATCCCAGGATGTTCTCCAGTTTATTTGACTTTCAAGAGAGAAATTGTTTTTTGAGAGAAAAAGAGGCTATTTCTAAAATGAAATGAAAGGGCTCTTGAAAGTCAAAAGCCCTTTCATTTCCTTTTAGAAATAACCTCTCCTTACCTCTTAAAGACAATTTTATGAGATGGAATGTTCAATCTGAGTGCTTTTTGTGCTCTTCGAAAAGAGCACACAATGGGGGCAGTGCAATTTAAACTTCAATGGATGGATTATATAGTTTTTATCGCTCCTGAAAGTCAAATAGCCCTTTCATTTCTTTTTCGAGATAAACTCTTATCCATCCCTTAATATTTAAATTGCACTGCCCCTATTGTGTGTTCTTTTTTAAAGAGCACAAAAAAGCCCTCAGATTAGGCAGCAAGTAGCAGAAAACGCCCTTAATACTGAACTCAACATTCAGTGGAATGACGCCCACATCATTGAGTTTGAAGCGCACTTCTGGTCAAGAATGGTAGAAGAATCATCTGCATGAAAAGGATAGGGATTATTGCTATACATTGTTACCTTTCTTCGCTCCAGTGATCTCAAGGCAGCAGACAGCAAGAAATTGTGTAAATAATAAAAGGTCCAAAGGAGTGGTTGTTAGAAGCTTTAACTACATAAAACTCACATTCTCTCCAATTTTTGACAACAAAGGTTGTCTTGGAAACCACATCAATCCATATTTACGGATGGGGTGCAGGGGGAAAGCCTTTGCCGGCAGTCTTGGGGCGGAGCCCCAGGAAGTTCTTGAATTAAAAAATAAAATGGAAATTTAAATTATTCGTCACAAGCGATAAAAATTGTTAGTTCCTCCTTGAAAGTCACAAAGCCCCTTTCATTTCATTTTTAGAAATAACCTCTCTTTCTCTCTTAAAGAAAATTTTATAGAACTTCTGTTTTCTTATTGTTGTACTTTCGTCCGCAGACTTCTTAGGCACATGTCGAGCCAACTCATCGGAAATGTAATCTGTAAGTGTAAATTTAAGTTTCATGTTCTTCCTTTTTTTTTGTCTTTCTTATTTTTTTTCTTCTCTCTCCCTCTCTTTCTGTCTCTTTATTTTCCCTCCATCCTCTATATTCTTCTCTTTTCTAATTATTCTCTCTTTCTCTTCTCATGTTTTCCTTCCATCGTTCTCTTTTTCCCATTTCCATAAAATAATACAAAAGATTATTTTCTCACTATCATAAGTGACATAACATATGGCATGTGTTCGTAATTTGTTATGGACGATGTACTTTTAGTTGTTAATATGTCCCCCTGTGAATAAATATCTGTTCCATTATTTTAAAAATCCAGAAAAATCGACACTTCGAGTTATTGTGTGCACAAATAAAATGGGAGTTATCCTTTGAGTGTGTGACATGCGTTACGAGTACGTGTGACATCGCACATAAATGCCAGTTGGAGATTCCCCATCTAATTACATGTATTGATCTCGATAAAAACAAATATATAAATTTCTCATCAATTCTATTTCCGGTTTTTCTAATACTTACACTAATCTCCAATTTAAAAAAAAATACTTCGTCTACTAGCTTCCTCTCAAGACAACATTATATTTCGCGAGTCATCTATCGATTTCAATAACTTCTTGTGTTTGTTCAAATTTATTACACAAACAGGTTCCATAACCATTCAAGTGTTCCAAGAAAAAGTTAAGCAAACTTTGTCCTCGGTGTAAATTCACACTAGCACTAGCGAGCTCTCCGATCCATTCTAGACTCTTCGCTTTGTGGATCGGGGGGGGGGGGGGGCAAAAAGACCTTGCCTCTCCCCCCCCCCCCCCTCCTCCCCCGCCAATTTTTTTTTAGAAAGAATGGAAAGGGAAAGAGGAGAGCTAAAAGGGAACAAAAAAGAGGAAGAAGAAAAGAAAAGGGTGGAAAGAAAGGGAGATCAGTTGCGATTAATCCCGCCAACAACATGTCGATCGGGGGGGGGGGGGGGAAGGCCCTTGCCTTACTCCCTAGCAAACCTAAAAGAGAGCGAAGGAAGGGAATCGTAAGGGAAGGGGAAGGGAAAGGTAAGGAAAGAAAGAGAGAAAGAAGATAGGTAGGAGAGTTTAGTTGCGATTTTCCCGCCAACAAGATATAGATCGGGGGGGGGGGACCAATGGCGTACTGATGGGGGAGGGAGGGGCTTGGGGGGGGGGGGGGGAACAGATGCCCCCAGAAAAAAAATCAAACGTGGTTACTTCTAATTCGATACCGGTGATTTACAAATGTTGATGAAGAGACATAATTTTCCGAGATCTTTCCTCAATCTTTAGTAAAATTATATATCTTTCATGCGTTTGTTGGGAAATGGCAAATTCCTGAATTTACAGTCAGGCAAGAAATATGCTTATTTGGAGGCCTACATGGCAGGGCCCGCAGGACGACGGGGCTCCGGGGCCTCGAGCTCCGCCCCCACTTTTTTGGAAAAAGTATACTAAAGAGAAATAGAAAGAAAGAGAGAAATAAAGAAAAAATAGTGACCTGCCAGTGTCACAAAA